TGTGGGTTTACTTTTGTATTCTGTTCCAATAATCCACATGTCTGGCTTTTAACCAATAGCACACTGTCCTAATTACTGTAGCTTTATACTAGGTCTTGTAATTGGGTTGCATGAAATCAGTCAAAATGCTTTTGATTGACAATAATTATGCCCTCAGAAACCTGGGAGACTCAGGGCAAAAAACTTACAGCATTGACCCAAAAGTCTGCAATAAAGTGTGTTTCTGTTCTTAGAAAACAAAAACAACTTAAATTTCAGTGATTTTCATAAGTTCTAAGTGTCACAAGTAAATAGTACCATTTGGCCAGGTCCCACAAAACTACTTGCACATGATTTCATTAGGTGTGTGCATTATTGTGAGGACTTGTGAATGTATAAGTCAATCAACAAATAACCCAGCTCTTCATGGTCCCTGACGTATACCAGGTCCTAGACTGACCCTTGCCTCATAGTGCTCAGTTAGGAAACTCTGGTCTTGGAGTTATGGGGTGAAAGGTAAGAATAAAATGTAAAGCATTTAAAAAGAAAAAAACCCACAGAAATGTTCTTTGCTTTAGAAGTCAAGGAAAGAGTAAATCGAGTAAATAGAGACTAAACAATAAAGCTATAAAACAACTCTATACAGATGGCATTCACACATTTTTGACATCTTACTTCCTGGAGGCATTTAATTTTTCAATACAAAGTTATGGTAACAAAACAACTGGAGTATTAGTGGATTGTGTGTGTGTGTGTGTGTGTGTGTGTGTGTGTGTGTGTGTGAGCTGGTCAGTTGTGTCCGACTCTTTGCGACCCCACAGACCGTAGCCTGCCAGGCTCCTCTATTCATGAAATTCTCTAGGTAAGAATACTAGAGTAGGTAGCCATTCCTGTCTCCAGGGATGGAACCCAGGTCTCCTGAATTGCAGGCAGATTCTTTACCATATGAGCCACAGGGACATCCTGGGAAAAGTAAATAGAAACCAAATTTAATAAAGGAATAAAACAACTCTGTATAGTTGGCTTTCTCGCATTTTTGTCAACTTACTTCCAGGAGACATTTAAATTTTCAATGCGAAGTCATTGTAACAAAAATCAAGCACAGTTGAATGATCATGATAAATAATCTGTTCAAAGGAAATTTTAATTTATGACACAGTTACTGAATGCATTTGCTGTAATTATGCAAAGATCAATCCATAGCATTTGAGAGGGGCTGAGTAATGCTGACTTTCAAAGTTATCCATAAATCACTGAAATAAAGGACATGTGCTAAAGTTAAATTGTTTGAACAAAGTTGTACTTTTAATTATGCAAGTTATTCCCTCAGCTCTGTGATCTGGGCAAAGGGAATTAACGTAAAGCATGAATTATGCCAGGCTTCCCCGGTGGCGCTAGTGGTGAAGAACCCGCCTGCCAATGCAAGAGAAGTAAGAGACGCTGGTTCGATCCCTGGGTTGGGAAGATCCCCTGGAGGAGGAAATAGCAACCCACTCCAGTACTCTTGCCTCGAGAGTCCCATGGACAGAGGAGCCTGGTGGGCTACAGTCCATAGAGTCGCAATGAGTCAGACACAACTGAAGCAACTTAGCATGCACAAATAAATGATGTCAAAGCTCTGGAGTGGGTTGCCCTGCCCTAGAGGATCTTCCCAACCCAGGGATCGAATCCACTTCTCTAAGTCTCCTGCATTGACAGGCAGGAGACTTTACCACTAGTGCCACCTGGGAAGTCCTTTAAGCCCTTGAATAAATCAAAGATAATTTGGATAGGTATGGTTCCACTTCTATTTCTATTTATGTTTAAGTGATTTGACAAATGGAAATATAGGAGCTGAGACAGAAATACTGTGTTTACTACCTGTGGAAAGCTAAATTTGCCATAAAATGTTCCCAAGGGACCTCAATGGTAAAATACTGTCAAGATTGCAGAGTTGCTGAGAGAAAATTTGAAATTGTGGGTCAGTTCCAAGTACAAGTTCTCATACAAATGTATCTCATACAAATGTATGAGACATCTCTGCAGCCAAGATTATTTGGTCTGCCTGGGAATACAGAACCAACCTCAACAAACATAACATTCATTGTTTTGATCCACATGGGTTACTGACTGTCTCAAAAATTTCCAACTCTCATAAATGTCTCTATAATTCACACGAGTAACCTTTATTCTTGCTGTATTTCAGCCTTTAAGACACCTAGCTCATGTATGTGCTAAATACAGGAGACAGCCAGGAAAACTCACATGGGTCAGGGACAATTCACTGATAAAATTTGTATAAAACTTCTTTTCCTGATACAGTTATGCCTCTTCTTTCTAGATTAATATTATATTTTCTGATAAAGTCTGGTCATTTTATAAGCAAGGTGATGTTCTTTGCACTTAGGAAGTAAAACTATAAAACCTGAGTATAATTGAAAAGTGTTTTATTTTTTTGGCTTTCAGGGACCTTCGCTTCATAAAGTACTGCTAGAATTTAAAGTACTGCTAGAATTTATGGACCACAGCCAATTTAATTTTTTATTTATTTATTTTAATTGAAGGATGATTGCTTTACAATATTGGGTTGGTCTCTGTCGCGTATCAGCATGAATCCGCCGTAGGTTTACACATGTTCCGTCCCTCGTGAACCTGCCTCCCACCTCCACCCCATCCCACCCCCCGGGGTTGACACAGAGCCCCGGGCCGAGCTCCCTGAGCCATACAGCGGATTCCCCCTGACCATCCATGTTACATACAGTGCATATGTTTCCTTGCTACTCTCTCCATCCATCTGACCCTCTCTTCCCCCCTACTCCCTGTGTCTATGAAATCTGTTCTTTATGTTTGTCTCTCCATTGCTGCCCTGCAAATTGGTTCATCCGTACCATCTTTTAGATTCCATTTACATATGTTAATATAGGATATTTGTTTATCTCTTTCTGACTGACTTCACTCTGTATAATAAGGCTCTAGGTTCTTCTGCCTCATTAGCACTGACTTAAATGTGTTCCTTTTTAATGACTGAGTAATATTCCGTTGTTTATAATTAAAAACATGGTAAGGTATGCCTCTGGGCTTCCCAGGTGGTGCCAGTGATAAAGAATCCACCTGTCAATGCAGGAGATACACGAGATGTAGGTTCTATCCCTGGGCTGGGAAGATCCCTTGGAGTAGGTAATGGCAACTCACTCTAGTACTCTTGCCTGGAAAATTCCATGGACAGAGAAACCTGGTGGGCAATAGCCCATTGGGTCACAAAGAGCTGGACATGACTAAGCGGTTGAGTGACTGAGTACACACACACACACACAGATACGCATCTAGATGGACCAGAGCTACTTTTTAAAAGAAAATTTTAAGTTATTCTTAATAGGATAGTTCAGAACACTGAGTGGAAGTTGCTAGATGGCAAGACTGTTTAAATATCCAATGAACTACAGAATTTAAGTCACAACAGTGCTCCTCATAAATGGTTCATTAGTTTGAGACTATACAGGTATGGTTTAATGGGCTGTCTATCATTCCTATGTGGAGTTTAAATAACATATTAGCATAGCCACTATCACTGCTTTATCAAGGAAGTGTCTTTTTGTGAAGTTAGTTTTTTTCTACATGAAAAGACATTCCATGTGAGAGTGAAGGTCAGAAAGATTTAATGCATATCTATTCTTGTATTTGTGAAAGGAAAACTAAAATGGGGACCTAGAGATAAGACACTTCACATGAGATTGGGAAAATCAATTCTGATATTTCTGTAAAAATATTTATTAAATTTGTATCCACATGATGCTGGGGATTTGGATTAGGAAAACAGCAGATATGTTTAGATGGACATTAAATATCACTGTTGTTGATCTTCAGAGACATTAAAAAGGGCACTGCAGAAGCAACTAATTGAATCACTGCATATAAGATTGGTAGAAGCCACAATTCCTTCTAAATAAAAAAGCAAGGATCAAAAAACCAATCTGTCAGCGCTGTCATTCTCTTCTCTAACTCTCTGCTCCAAAATACAGAACATTTCTTCATCTGATTTATTGAAATAGAGAAACATCATATATGTACTACTTTATTTTTTACAGAGACAGAATACTACCATATGATACTGAAAATGATTTGAACTTGGCAAGTCTTTATGCAATGAAATCAATCATGTAAATATATATTAACTTACCAAATTTCACAATGAAATTTCTTTCTTTATAAGAGGAGGGATTTCTGTCTTTTTAATTTACCGATGTATTTTAATGCACCAAGAAATGTCCCTGATAGTTGTGGTGGTTATTCAGTTGCTCAGTCATGTCCGACTCTTTGTGACCCTGTGGACTGCAGCACTATAGGCTTCCTGTCCTTCACCATCTCCTGGAGCTTGCTCAAACTGATGTCCATCTAGTTGATGATGCCATCCAACCATCTCATCCTCTGTCATCCCCTTCTCCTCCTGCCTTCAATCTTTCCCAGCATCAGAGTCTTTTCTAATGAGTCAGCGCTTTGCATCAGGTGGCCAAAGTATTGGAGCTTCAGTTTCAGCATCAGTCCTTTTAATGAATATTCAGGACTGATCTCCTTTAGGATGGACTGGTTGGATCTCCTTGCAGTCCAAGGGATTCTCAAGAGTCTTCAACACCACAATTCAAAAGCATCAATTCTTTGGTGCTCAGCTTTCTTTATAGTCCAACTCTCACACCCGTACATGACTACTGGAAAAACCATAGCTTTGACTAGATGGACCTTTGTCAGCAAAGTAATATCTGCTTTTTAATACACCATCTAGGTTTGTCATAGCTTTTCGTCCAAGGAGCAAGAGCCTTTTATTTTCATGGCTGCAGTCACCATCTGCAGTGATTTTGAAGCCCAAGACACTTGTGACTTTCCATAAATTTTACTGAATTAGTGAAAACAACAAATACATAAACAAACTTGAATCTCTATATCTATCTCCAATGAACTCATTCCCCTGTCATCATCTTGCATAACATAGGATAGAAAAGAATCAAGCATTCTAAAGAGAGGATACCATTTATATCCCTTTATTATTATCTTCAGTAATAGACTTTTCAAGTTGGTTTTTACATTCAGTATTCAAGTTTATACTGCCATATCATAAATCTTTCCCAAGTCTTTGAATTTCATCAATAAGATAGTCAACATCTGTTTGTCTTGTGGCAGGATTAGAAAAGACCATTCGGAAAAAATTTACTTTGTCCCCATAGGGCTGGTAGCTGAGCATGACTGTACCTTCCACTATCATCTGTGCTTTAATCTTTGGAGCAATCTGCGTATAAATGCAAATATCATTAAAAAGAAAGTTTAAAAATAAATACTGTTCTACCTCCTAGATGCCTACATGACTATCATTAGCTTGAGGTAAATTGCAGGCAATTTAAAACTGTCAGGGATAATTTTTAAGAAGCAGCTTACTACAGAAAAAAAGCAGCCTGTTCTAAACACATATTAATGCTCTTGCTAGTCCATGATTCACAATTACCAAACTCGTAAAATAATGCAAGTGTACTAGAATACATTAAAGAAGGTTGTATGACATTTTGTTTACATTTTTATGTCAATCTAAACAGACATATCCGGGAGAGAGGTAAAATGAACTAGAGAATGGAAAAGTAGGAATACCTTCTGGTATTCTAACTTTCACTCTTTGAGTTATTACCATACAACTTGAGTTTTTCAACAAGGTCACTGTTTTGCAGCGAAACATGGTTTCCTTGTAAATTCTACAGAGGAAAATTCTACCTTTAATGTCTCACACATTAAAATCTCCTAAAACAATACTGGGCAGGCGATGTCATATCATATGACACTCTTAGGTCATTATGGATACTATAGGACAGAGTGGTACTGAGACTTGGGGAAAGCAGAGGGCATTCACACGTTATTTAAAATGCAGTATGAAAATTATAACTCCCGTATCATGCGCACACACAAACTTACCTTTTGCAGTTCTTGATCTCTTTCAAAACTTTTCTGGATATGTTTAAGTCTTGGTGGGAAACACCAGAAGCAGACATTGGTGAACTCAGGCTAAATCAAAAATTAACACTTTAAAAGTATTCTTAAAGTTTTATCTACTTCTTTAGTAATTTTATGAGTATTCTTAAAGCCCTACCTAATTTCTTAATTATCCCAGAGGTATTTTAATTACCCATGCCATCAGGCTGCCAAGGGGCTGACTGGCCCTTGAAGAGGAAGATGGATATAATACTAGCACACTCTCAATGTTACCATTAATACCTATAACTTAGTACCTTATTAATAATTAACCAAGCATTATCAGGTAACTTAAAGATCACTTTTCTTATGTCACCCACTCTCCAGAAACCCAACTGCATAGCCTAACTTACAAGAAAAATGCTAGGAAAAATTAAATTTCTCTTGATTAAGTGCCATCAAAATCAGAAAAGCAATTATAACCAAATAGTTTTATCTTAGTTTTTTTTAAATTGAGTGCCTGGTGGGATATAATTCATGGGATCAGTAAGAGTCAGACACAATTAAGCATGCACAAAGGCAAGGCAACTATTAAATTAATCTATTCGGCCCTAAGCCTTTAAAAAAGAGAACTTAATGGAAAAGTTTTTAAGATCTAAATGTTTTGCAGCACTTAGATAAAATAAAATGTGTATGATAATTATTGCATGTAACTTTTGAATTATCTCAAAGTGTTAGACAGGTAATAGATTCAAGAAAAAATACTCAGCAAAGAAAGAATAGATACATTAAAATATCACCAAAAAAACCCACTAATAGATTCCTTACCTCTGCATCAAATACAAGCTTAAAGTTATCTTTTTTCTTTAAAACTTTATGGAAGTATTTTGCAAGTTCCATATATCTGTCAATCTGTACCTCAAAGCCATAGGTTCCCTGTAGTTTAAAAAAAACATCAAAAGCTTTATTCAAGTAAGTACCTTTAAATTAAACTAAAGAAGCTCTTGAAATATATGAAACTAATTTAAATGTGGTTATTATCTTATTAACAGTAGGTATCATCTGTTCTCACTGCATTCTTATTTCTATCTTCTCAATCCGCTTTTACTCCCCACTGTCTGTGGAGCTTGAGGCAAGTTANATCTGTCAATCTGTACCTCAAAGCCATAGGTTCCCTGTAGTTTAAAAAAAACATCAAAAGCTTTATTCAAGTAAGTACCTTTAAATTAAACTAAAGAAGCTCTTGAAATATATGAAATTTATTTAAATGTGGTTATTATCTTATTAACAGTAGGTATCATCTGTTCTCACTGCATTCTTATTTCTATCTTCTCAATCCGCTTTTACTCCCCACTGTCTGTGGAGCTTGAGGCAAGTTATGTAGCCTTGTTAAGCTTCTGTTGCCTAGATCTACAAATGTTTGATAAATATTTTGACATGAGCTTTTAAAATAATTTTACTTATTTATTTGTTTGTTTTTGGCTGGGCTGTTCTCCCTCGCAGGGAGGGCTTTTTCTTTAGCTGTGGCGACTCAGGGCTACTTTCTAGTTGTGGGGTGCAGACTGCTCTTGTCGCAGAGCATGTGCTCCAGGGTGGGTGTGCTCCAGGGTGCGTGTGCTCCAGGGTGGGTGTGCTCCAGGGTGGGTGTGCTTCAAGGTGTGTGTGCTCTAGGGTGGGTGTGCTCTAGGGTGAGTGTGCTCTAGGGTGCGTGGTCTCTAGGGCGCGTGGGCTTTAGTAGCCGTGACCCCCGCATTCCAGAGCGCAGGCCCAGCAGTTGCGGCTCACGGGCTCAGCTGCTCCACAGCATGTGGGATCTCTCCAGACCAGGGGTGGAACCCGTGTCTCCTGCGTTGGCAGCGGACCCTTTACCACTCAGCCACCAGGGAAGCCCTTAACGTCTAACTTTTCATCTATCTAGTATGCAGAGCAAATTTTTAAAAAAACTTTATACAATGCAGTGAGGAACAGGAGAAATATGAAAAATAAAGCCCTTGGCATATTGGCTGGCATAGGATATCTTAAAACCAACAATTGTTGACCTTTAGCTATATCCCAGGTATGTAGTTCCGTGCTTCGTACTCTTGGTCTAATTTACTTTTGGGAGAACACTATAAAGTGGGTGATGAAGGCACCGAAAAATCGACCCGTCTCTGTCTCCACTCACCTTCTTTCCCTTGGTGATGTCCGCTTATCTCATGGCTCTAAGCAATATGGAAAGGCGATGACTCTCCCACTTATATTTCCTCCTGAGACCTCATCTCTGAACCTCAGATTCATATGTTTGATTCCCTATTAATATAACTAACATCTCAAAATGACATGCCCAGAACCGAACTCCTGACCTTTCTCCACAACTTGTACTTCCCAGTGTTCCCAATCTCCATTCTATCCTTTAGTTGCTAAGGTCCAAATCATCAGCATCTTATCCTTGACTTTCTTTTTTCATACCCATACCCAGTAGAATATTTTGAAAAATTCCATCGGATTTACCTTCAAAAGGTAATTAAATTCTAATATATCTTAACCTATTTGTTGCCACTTTGCTGCCCAGTCACCCCCTTCTGCATTACTGAATTTGCTTTCTAATGATCTCTACTTCTGTCTGTACATTCCAGATATTCTTTGCTGAGGGTACCCATTACTGGTTACTTTAGGGGTATGCAATGTAGAGCCTTTACAACAATATAAGGTGGCACTTCAGCATCTTTTCAATACTTAAGCTTTTGTGATCAGGCAGACTAGTGTCCTTGGGGTCGCAGAGCCAGACGCAACTGAGCGCACACACATACCTGTGTGAAAGATGGTAGGAAGGACGTAGGCAGCCTGGGAAAGCTTTCAGACTGTGAATAAACACGACTCGTGTGTGTGTGTGTTAGTGGCTCAGTCGTATCTGACTCTTTGTGACCCCAGGGACCAGAGCCCGCCAGGCTCCTCTGTCCATGGGAGTCTCCAGGCAAGAATGCTGCGGTGGGTTCCCATTCCCTCCTCCAGGGGATCTTCCCAACCCAGGGATTGAACCCTGGTCTCTCACATTGCAGGCAAATTCTTTACCATCTAAGCCACCAGGCAAGCCCAAACATGTCTCTAAGTGAAGGGAAAAGATGGCAATGAAATCTAAGATTTAGGAAGGCCTTTAAGACCTCTTCACATCAACTCAGCTATCAGGAATAGTCTCCTGTCTCTCAGGAGCGGTATGCCTTAGACTCCCTGCCACGCAGTCAGTCACTGACGGGAGAAAACCGGGAAGCCCAGCCTTTGGTCAAATGCAACTGTGACTTTAGAAGAAGCAGATGGGGCTCTTGGACAATTAAGCTCCCGATAGCTTTCTCCTGGCCAAACACAGTCATTTTATGAATATAAAACTAGTCCAACTCATGTAGAAAATCCATCCAAAAAAAGAAGCTTGTGCATTACATTTGCTTTTGCACAATAATTAATGTTTGTGGAATCTTATATTTCTATATGATTTTATTACTTAGTTTTATAACCTACCACAGTATTTTATGGAATTAATTTTACTTTAAAGAAATATGAATTTCATTAAAAATGGCTCCTCTTTTCTGTAATCAATGAAGTATTCATTCTGTAATTACAACAAATGAGGAAAAAATATAAAATTTTCACTTTTATCTCTAGACTTTATTATTAATTCCCATCATCTTGTCAAGAGAACTGATGGAGTCTCACACAGCAAATGTTTAAATATTTAGTAGTTATAGATCATGCAACAAACTTGCAAGTCAACTCATCCCTTTCAAGCCTGCCATGGATATTTACCTGAACTTTCATTTTAACATATAAAAATGCTCTTAAATAGGAAAATAATTTCCATTCCACCGTATACTGGGATTTTGTTTCCCTGCTCTCAGGAATGGCCTTGCTTACATAATATCTGCTTATACACCTTTTTTTTTTATAACATAGTTTCCATATGCAAAAGGTGATAAACTTGCTTCTTCATCACTACTCTACATGAGTTTTAGCATTCTCATGGTGCTATGAATTATGTTAAGAAAGATAATATGGATTCATGGAAAAATAGATTTTTAATCTGAGAGTCAGCTGTGCTCCTTAGATTAAGTTCTCTTCATCCACCAGCAAGTTAATTTCTTTACCTATTTACCAGATACAACCAGCTCAACTGTTGGGACATGTAAGCTAAATAATATAAGTAAAGCTTTGTAGCCTAATATATGTTCACCGTATGGTAAACCCATTACTACTGAAGATCTATACTATTGAATAAATATATTTATTATTTCAATGCCTCACTATCAAAAGAATTTAAGGTGAGTTATCAATATATATACATTATTCAAAGTGGATTTTTAAATTCTTATTTCAAACAAGGTGATGATAAGGTTAGGAAAAAGCAGGTGATAAAAGACAACTTTGTAAGAGAAATGCCGCCAATGTATTATAGATTACTAAAGAAGGATCATGAATTCGCCTCTGGGATTCATGTTACAGAACATATTTTTCTATTTGTGTTTTGTACTAGGAATTCTATATCCACAAAATAAAAAATCTAAGCAACTTTTCTGGAGGATAACTACCTGTAATATACACAAGAGCCCCCTTGAGATGCAGAGGATGGGTGATGTGTTGTGGAGGATCAGGGTCCCACTGCATCAAAGAAGCTGTTGGTTCATGTCAACACTTTCATCTTCACAGAACCTATTGCCCATCTTCCTATAGAGGACTGGGAAAGAGGTGATAGAAATAGCTTCCTAAAAGCATTTCTATTATTTAAGTTAAAAATTATAAATAAGGTGCAGAAGGAGAGTGTAGAACATGATCTGCTGTTGCAATCTTCAGAGAGACTGTATCTGTTGTCCTTGACTCTGTGTGTGTGTCTGTGTGTGTCTGTCTGTGTGTGTGTCTGTGTGTGTCTGTCTGTGTGTGTCAGCGTGTGTGTGTATGTGTCAGTGTGTCTGTGTGTGTGTATATGTATGTCTGTGTGTCTGTATCTATGTTTTGTGTGTGTCTGTGTGTATGTGTGTCTTTATCTATGGTATGTGTGTGTCTGTGTGTATGGGTCTGTGGTGTGTGTCTGTGTGTGTGTGTTCCTGTGTCTGTGTGTCTGTGTGTGTCTGTGTGTGATTGTGTCTGTGTGTGTTCGTTTGTCTCTGTGTGTGTCTGTATGTGTCTGTGTGTCTGTGTGTATCTATGTGTGTGTGTGTCTGTGTGTATTTGTCTCTGTGTGTGTATGTCTGTGTGTGTCAGTGTGTGTGTCTACATGTATGTCTGTGTGTGTCTGTGTGTGTCTGTGTGTNATCTTTCATTCAATTGAATATAAGTTTTGTGTATGGTGTGAGGTAGAGTTTGAGACTGAATTTTTCATAAATGGATAAGCGGTTATTTTGGTATAATTTTTTGAACAGTCCAGTGTCATATATTGAGTTTTCTGTATATGTGTGAGTCCGTTTCTGGGTTTTAATTATGTTTCATTCTTATCCCTACATTTTTGAAGAATTGAAAAAAGTGGATAACATTTTGAACGTCAGAACTTCTAGACACTTACAAGTGGTAGGTTAAATTTTTTAAAATTAATTTTCACTTTTATTTTCTTTTGAAATACAACTTTTTTTGTTTTCTTTTGGTACACAACTGAATCACTCACTCCCAATTTTGTAAAATGGATTTGTGGTTTGGCCATAGTATGAAAAAAAGAATTAAGAAAAAGCAGTATGCATCTTGTGAGTAGTAATTAAGCAAATGGGTTTTGGAGTCTTACAGCCTGTCCAGTAATTTGTGATCTTGGGTACGTGAATGGGATACTCAGAGTAGTAATTTTACTAAGTGCTTTGTGATGATGACCTGCATTAAGCACTAAGTGCCTGGCAAAGATGAAGGGCATTCTAAACAGTTGTTCCTAAAGTAACAAGATAGTTGTTGAGAGAGGAATGACGGGAGACATAAGACAACATGTATGTACATATGAATAAAGGAATGGATTTTGTACAAAGGAATGGATTTTGAAATGATTATTAAATACAGAAAAACAGTAGGAGACTAGCCTGTGTTCCTTTAGCTGTGAAGGAAGTAGAAAGACAGTGAATCTCAGATAGTGACCAGTGCGGGACACTAGGTGGTGCCATTAGTCTAGGCTCTTTATTTGATGCCACTGGAGGCTGAATAGCCTCAGGGTAAAAGATAGAATCAGGAATCCAACTCAATGGGCATGAGTTTGAGTAAACTCTGGGAGTTGGTGATGGACAGGGAGGCCTGGCGTGCTGTGGTTCATGGGGTCGCAAAGAGTCAGACGTGACTGAGCGACTGAACTCAACTGAACAGATTTTACTCCTACCATTTGATAGACTACATATTAATGGTAAAACAAGCTAAAATCTTATCCACCTCAGTAGAATTTTGAGCTCAGAAACCAAGCTTGTCATTTGCAGTTAGAAATAGAGCAGTTTCCTTGAGAGAAGTTTAACAAAATAAAAGGACCATAGGGCTTCTCTGGTGGCTCAAGGGTAAAGAACCCTCCTGCGAACGTAGGAGACAGAGATTCGATCCCTGATCTGGGGAGATCCCACATGCCATGGAGCAAATCAGCCTGTGTGCCGCAACTACGGGGCCTGTGCTCTAGAGCCTGCAAACTGCAGCTACTGAGTCCATGTGCTGCGACTACTGAAGCCCCATGCACCCAGGTCCTTTTCTATGCAACCAGAGAAGGCACTGCAGGGAGAAGCCCCGAAACTAGAGCGTAGTCCACCTTTGCCCAACTCAAGAAAAGCCTGCATAGCAGTGGGGACCCAGCACAGCCAAAGACAAATTAATAAAATTTTAAAAAGAGAAAAACTTAAAATAATAAAAGGGCTATAATTTGGGAAAAGACATCCAAAGTAAGCTCTAAAATATGGAACTAGTTACATGAGGTATCCAAGTACATAGGACCTAATAAAAGATGGCAAATTCCTACCTTTGCCTTCCACATTAACCAGAGCTTAAAGACATCAACGTGTCGGCCACACTGAATAGTTTTATCCCCGGTGTCAAAGTTAATATTGTAGACTTTATCAGGCTGGAAAAGGTATTCAGCCTGCATCTGGTTGCATGCTCCCAGAAGACCCTGAAAAAGGAATGATATATCTACTGTGTAAGCCATCCACTTCTCAATAAGAAGCCACAATCACTTATTTATTTCAGTTCACTTAGCATGTCTACTTTACAGGCACATTTAAATAGAATTTGTGTTTACTTTATACAAAAATATGTTACTTTCTTAGGATTTTCATGGATTCAGTTGTTCTTTGGATTTATCTGGAACAGTAGATGGTGTAATTAGATTACCAGTTGTCTATATTTCTTTAACTTTTCTTAAAAACCTTGAAGTTTTGTGGCTCTTTTGAAATTACATGACCAGCCTGCATTGAAGTTAATTAGAATTGAGTGCCTGGTTCACTTTAACTAAGGTCCCTCATGAATCAACCGTTTAGATGCCAGTCAAGCAAACTGCTCTGATGGCCATGGGAGGTAGAGAATAAAACAGCCCATTTATTTAATTTTGCCCTTTCCTAGCCATTTCCTCCTACATAAAAGGTGTCGAAAAATTCCTCCTTGGTATTGAAGAATGGAGAAATATTTCTTTTGAATGATTAAATAATAATCACTAGAGAAAAGAAATGTTTTCCATCAAGCAGTTGAAAAGAGGCTTTTCTCAGAAGATATGCATTGCCACAGCATAACAAAGGCTAAACCTGTGTGCACTGACTGGGTAGAGTTTAAATATATACCAACTATAACCTTTTGAATATGAAGCAAATAACATATTTATCACGTGCCTATTATATGCTGGACACATCACAAATATACCATCTGATCCTCATGGATGACTTAGGGCCTAAGAGCTACTATTAGATCATTTTTATAGATTGGAGAAACAGAAACTTCACCACGGTAAGTAATTTTCAAGATCATATATCTGTACAGTGGTAAGTTTGAGAGCTAACAAGAGGGTAGTTTGTCTGGGAGTCTGTGGCAATCCGAATCCAAGGGAAGAAAGCTCACACCCTTATTTAGGAGCAGCTTATGGATCTAAGGCAAGGATCACAATTGGTGACAAGATTTGAGGTACTGGGGTGAAATAAGAGAGGAAATGATACCTCGCGGAGGACAGTACGTTGTCTGTGTGTACAGTGTGTGTGCATATACATATATATATATATATACTATATATATACTATATAAATATATGCACTACATACACTGTTTTAAAATATTTTAGTTTCCAGTTCCTATCTAACAAAATATTAAAGTAGAAGAATACCAGAGTGCGTAGCCATTCCCTTCTCCAGGGGATCTTCCCAACCCAGGGACGGACCCATGTCTCCTGCATCTCCTGCATTTCAGGCAGATTCCTAACTTCTTTACTGTCTGGCTCAGGAGAATCCCATGGACAGAGAAGCCTCGTGGGCTACAGTCCGTGGTGTCACAAAGAGTCAGACACGGCTGAATGACTAATACACTTCACACTATAGGGTCCAATTCACACATGAAAAATATTTTCCATTTAGTTTACTTCAAACTTCTACTTTAATATTTTGTTAGATAGGAACTAGAAACTAAAATATTTTAAAATAGTGTAAACAATGTGAGTTTTAACTATAGTTCTTAGGTAAAGATTGTGAGTATGCTCAGTTAGGTCTGATTCTTTGCGACCCCACGGACTATAGCCCACCAGGCTCCTATGCCGATGGGACTTCCCAGGCAAGAATGCTGCAGTGGGTTGTCATTTCCTTTTCCAGGGATCCTCCCAAGCCAGGGACTGGACCCACATCTCTGGCATCTCCTGCAATGGCAGGTGGATTCTTTAGACCGCTGTGTCACCCGGGAAGCCTCTAAGATAAAAATTAAGCACCTAAAATCTGTCACACTCTGTGCTGGGACTGTGGATTTGTGATAAGGAAAACCTCTAGCCTTGTTGAGTTCACAGTCTGGGTTGTAGGAGGCTGAGCAGAGAAGGGCAGGGCTACTTCAACATACTCATTATGAATGAAGAAATGAAAAGCTGCAGAAAATTTGTTTTTGAGCCCTGAGCATAAAAGTACCAGAAATCTGAAAGTGGAATACAGATCTGTTAGCAAAGTGGAGAGGTTGTCGCCATGCAGCCGGCTGAGCAGAATCTAAAGTAGAGCTAATGGTTCCAGCCTGAATTGCTGAGAATGCCTAGGGTCAAGAGAGAACAAAGACTGTCTCAGAGCTAGAGAAGAGGTGTGTATTTAGCTCTCAACAGAAAGTGGGGAGTGCCAGCTCAGGCAGTTTATAATGGGAAGAGAAGCACTTTATTTTTCAATTCAAACCACTGAATTGCTTGTGAATAAGAGAGAAAGAAAACAAAGCTATAAATGCCAGCTACGTCAAGTGTGTCTGCACCTCAACAACTAAGTAGAGATAGGCAATATTCAAATTGAACTTTGTAATTGTATCTCTTCTTGCAGGAGATCTCAGGCTTATCTCCTTGTGTAGCAGTACATTTACTATTGGCAGAGATAGAATACACAAGCTTATAAGCAAAAATTAACTTCATACACCCATAATTTTTTGTTTTTTATGCTAAATGTATATCACCGTTACTGATAGTCATCCCTACTTAAAACAAGTCTTATTTTGGTCTTACTCTCTGAGGTAACAAATTGGTCAGCAGGCCAAATCTGACTCCAAAGAGACCTTCCATTTGTTCATGGTGTGTTTAGAAGGTAGGTCATGAATGACCACCTTTTCTATCATCTGTTCTATTTCTCATCACTGTCTACTGTCTTATCCCAGATCTTATTCACACACTAACTTACGACCTGTCGCCCTGCAGTCGTTGGATTCTGTGGCACTTTAGTTACCACTGCCGGCGTTACTCGCTCAGTCGTGTCCGGCCCTTTGCGACTCCATGGACTCTGTCCGTGGGATTCTCCAGGCAAGAGTACTGGAGTGGGCTGCCATTTCCTTCTCCAGGGGATCTTCCCGACCCAGGGATGGAACCCACATTTCTTATGTCTCCTGCANTCGTTTACTTTTTCCCGGGTCAGGATAGCAGAACACTGAAGGGGAACACCCATGAGTTTATGGGGATTCCAGGTCACGGAGTCGGCCCTAGGTGATAAAATAACGCCCGTTAGTGCCCACAGTCTAAGGAGACAAAACAGAAGCCTGAAGAGGTTCTTCCACTTGCACAAGCAACGGCCCAGTTCTCACCTTTCAATGCCACTGAGTTTATAAGAATGGTTTCTGGACAACAGCAATCCACCTCCCCAAGCTGCCTACAATGGACACAGAGGATTTGTGTTTTTACATTAAAGATTTCTTTTTACATAGCACTGACTGCCCTTTCCTATGTTATATTTATTTCAAAAGTTGATGAAGATTTGATTGTTATGCTAGATAATTATAAACTTGGCTATAATTATCTCACTTAAAAGAACAATGCAAAAAAAAGAACAATGCATTTAAAATTTTCCTCCTATGAATTCTCATTGTCTATTCATGACATAGTAAAGCTTTAGGTTTCTATTGATAATTAATTCAGAGACACCTTCTGTATAATTTCCAGAGACAGAATTTTTTAAAAGTTGTCATCAGATTTGGCAATACTACAGAAAAATTAAAATATCTACCATATTATATAACTTTACATTTCTCCAACTCTAATCAAAGCCAAAGACATTTTTGCATAGTCATTGTACTAATAGCATCAAAAGTTTTGATTTCCATAACAGCTATTAATTAAGAAATATATATTAGAGTAAGGGGCTAAGTCTCTTTGATTTAAAATATTTAACTATTTCTTCATATTGATCTTCTAAATTGGTGGTTGAATATTGATAGGATTTAGACTCTTTAAAAAGTATATTGATACATATGTAGCTCTTTTTATGGCAGCATATTGTATATTTTAAGGTAATTTATGCAAATGAGACTATTTTTTCTTGATTGAATAGTATAGAATATAGTATATAGAAATAGTATAGAATTCATTATAAATATCAGAGTTACAGAGAAATTTTGGTCTTGCTTGTAATGTCAATTAAGAAATTATGAGGGCTGTTCACAGGCTACATTTTTTTAAAAAGGGAAATTATCAGCCAGACTCTAGGACGTGACTTACATCCACATGCATCCAGAGTTTGTGTATCTCACAAATATCTGCGATGTCATGGAGCGGGTCGAAGGCCCCGAACACGGTGCTGCCAGCTGTGGCCACAACACAGAAAGGAGTCCGGCCCTGGGATGACAAAAGCTGCGTCGTTCCTACAGTCTCATGAAGCCCATTGTTCTTTCGCCGCTAAGTCATTTTTGAATCTTGTGCGACCCCACGGACTGGAGCCCGCCAGACTCCTCTTTCCAGGGGCTCTCCCAGACAAGAGCAAGGAGCGGGCTGCCGTTTCCTCCTCCAGGGGCCGCTCCGACCCGGGACTGAGCGCGCGCCGCTTGCATCGACCGGGGCTCTCGGCTGCTGACTGACCGCGGCTCTCGGCTGCTGACTGACCGGGGCTCTCCGCTGCTGACTGACCGGGGCTCTCGGCTGCTGACTGACCGGGGCTCTCGGCTGCTGACTGACCGGGGCTCTCGGGGGCTGACTGACCGGGGCTCTCGGCGGCTGACTGACCGGGGCTCTCGGCTGCTGACTGACCGGGGCTCTCGGGGGCTGACTGACCGCGGCTCTCCGCAGCTGACTGACCGCGGCTCTCGGGGGCTGACTGACCGCGGCTCTCGGCTGCTGACTGACCGCGGCTCTCCACAGCTGACTGACCGCGGCTCTCG